AAATAAAGCATGTATGTATCTATTTGGGAAAATAAATTAACAAACTTGTTACGTTTTTTTCTGGACGCGATCATTACTTGTAAACAACTGATGTCGCCGCTTGAGGAATCGTGCAGCTAAAATCAGCTGATTGTACGTGCTGACGTTTACTTAATAATAGCTCTTCAAAATTCCTATTCATTTTGTAATAATAAATATATATTATGCATATGTAATACTATGTAGATTAATAGATTTTTTGGTTTCCATTTTTCAACATCCTTGCCAATGATGCACGTTACAAATGTGCCACGCCCACTTCACGTTGGCGCGCCCTGTTTAATTTTCAAACCGTGGAGAACCCTGGTAATGAAAATGCATCAATTATTCATTGGGTTTTGATTTCACTATTTTCACTGATAAGTAAAATATGAACATGTAAAAATAACAATAAAACTCATTGTTTCCTTGAAAAATTGTGAAATTAAAACATGGTGAATATGCTCAAGCAGTGAAATTAAATGTCTGTGAAAATGAATGGTTTTACAGTATGTGATAAATTTAGATCATAGAATATATTTTTCTTTGCTAAAAGCTGAATTTTTTATTAGCATACAGGTAGTTTTGTTTTCGCTTATTTCACTGATGTGCTAAACTTTTATCCATTCACTTGACAGAATTACTTTGATAATGCACCGTTGATGAGTGTGCCAGGTCGTACCCATCCTGTAGAGATATTTTACACTCCTGAACCTGAAAGAGACTATTTAGAGGCAGCTATTCGTACTGTAATTCAGATACACATGTGTGAAGAGGTAGAAGGTGATGTTCTTTTGTTTCTTACTGGTCAAGAGGTGAGTAACATGGCAATGTGGTATTGATCCATGCAATTCTGAACTAAAATAAAACTATTCTAAAAACCAATGATTTTTCTCTAAGATTTATAATTTCAATGTACAATAATTACTGTAAAATCTGTATTAGAAGCCGCGGCTTCTATTAAAATGGTACAATGCAACAGAGGGGATGCGGCTTCTATTAGAGCATATACACATATGAGAAATGGTGAATTTTAGATTCTCAATTATTCAAAAAGAATGGGTGCGACTTCTATTAGGGATGCGGCTTCTAATACAGATTTTACGGTAGTTCAGATGCTGTATTGTATCACTTCTGAGTTGCTAGCTACCGTCCATCCCTTGTAAAGTAGCCAAATTATACAGTATTTCATTGCCTTTCCTGTATCGGCACCACTGAGATACCTAATCAATGTGGTGGAATATTCAAAATTGTAACCAATTTTGTGTTTAATTTTGTAGGAAATTGAAGAAGCCTGTAAACGAATTAAGCGAGAAGTTGACAATCTAGGCCCAGAAGTTGGTGACATGAAATGCATTCCGTTGTACTCTACATTGCCCCCCTCTCAACAACAGAGGATATTTGAACCAGCCCCACCAAAGAAAGCTAATGGAGCTATTGGTAGAAAAATTGTGGTATCCACGAACATTGCCGAGACCTCCTTGACTATTGATGGGGTTGTATTTGTTATTGATCCAGGTTTTGCTAAGCAGAAGGTAGGAATCTTGCATGTTATTCCTGAGTTTATAGGAGCCTAAGGCACGTGTTCACTCCTTGTTCTGTGTGCAGGGTTAACCTGGATAAAGAGGAAGATTTGCATAATGGTTAGTGTAGGTCTACCCAGATTGAAGCTTTCACTCAGCAGTGAAAAAGAGATGTATGAAACGTAACCTTGTGATGGTTCTGTGGAAGATAAATTATAGCCTACTATTGATAAAACAAAGTATAACTATAGTAATAACAATAATGCCATTTTTTGCAAAATTAGTACTTAACTACTGTGGAATATTTTATTTTCGCTGAAAAGGCTTTTTTGGCATTTTGTATGGAATTTATTTTCACTGATTTTTGATGAGTTTAATGTGAAATATAGAAAAAAAAGTATATTCGCTGGATTTTATTTTCACGGAATCATTCTTTCAGCGAAAATAGCGAAAATAAATTCCAAGCGAAAATAAAGTATTCTACAGTATTTAAGTTTACAAAGCATGTGCATGTTCTGTTATTAACTAGTATTAACTACCAAAAAAACATGCTCAACACAAATAGTAACATTTATTCATTTGTATTCTCTTCTTTTCAGGTATACAATCCTCGTATTCGTGTAGAATCATTGCTTGTGTCTGCCATCAGTAAAGCTAGTGCACAGCAAAGGGCTGGTCGAGCTGGCCGTACACGGCCAGGAAAATGCTTCAGACTGTACACTGAGAAGGCTTACAAGACAGAAATGCAACCAAACACGTACCCTGAAATCCTAAGATCTAACCTTGGTACAGTGGTGTTGCAACTCAAGAAACTTGGCATTGATGATTTGGTTCATTTTGACTTCATGGATCCTCCTGGTAAGTTGTTACGCTACTTGTCGTTACTCGCAAACAGCCGTCAAGATCTTGTTTAGAGTGAGAGCCACACAACTTCCCCTCCCAAATAGTGTTCTATTCTCCGTCGCCATCCTGCCCACTGTTCCAAATAGATGCTTCACTGTTCAAAATAGAACAGTAGATGCAATGACTTTTGATTATATTGTCATCAAAATTTGTGTATTGGGGGGAAAATCACAATTAAAAATTACAAATTACAAGAATAAATTAACAAAACAAATGAATCAATTTCTGCCACCCATATTGTTCCAAATACCAAAACAACAACATCATTGCCAGTTAAGTTGCTGACTTGGTTTGTTATGCGAACCTGAAGATCATTGTGCGATGACAGTAACACTTGTCTTCTATATAAACTGACAATTCACACTGCTTGAGAATTTTTCTGGGGAGAACACTCAATCATACTGGAGCATCCTGTCCACAATTTCTTCCTTGACACTTTGAACATCTGTATTTTGATTGGGAAATCATTTGGGTGGCAGTAGACAAATCTTCAACATTTTTCCAATTGATGGTTCAAGGTAACATAATCGCTTTCGCAAAATACTAACCCATTGTATATCTGTTCTCCTATAGCTCCTGAGACTTTAATGCGTGCACTAGAATTATTAAATTATCTTAGTGCTTTAGATGACGATGGTGAATTGACAGAATTGGGATCCATGATGGCAGAGTTTCCACTAGATCCACAGTTGGCCAAAATGGTGATCGCCAGCTGTGAATACAATTGTTCCAATGAGATCCTGTCTGTCACTGCGATGTTATCAGGTAATAGACACCACACAGGACATGAACTGATTAGTTTTCTGCACTGTCTTGTACATGTATGATATGATACATAGATTAACATATGTTAGCTTCATAGTTGTGTCTGGAACATTTTAAATATCTTGTACGCGAAAATCTAGGCAGTTTACCCATGACACATAATGTATATTCACACTACATCCCTTTAAATAACTACACAGATATTATGTTATGTGTCAACTCTTCAAGAAAATTACCACAAGCCACCTAATGGATGTGACATTTACATACTTGCATAATTTTCAAATTCTCACTACATGTGTTTACGTAGGATTCTTATCATAATAAAGCTTAGGCAAGTCAGAATTCATTTCTAGTGTAGTTGCAGCCAAATCATTTGTCTTGTTATCAATGTATTATATAGACTCGTGGTTTAGCATTATAGCAAAACTAGTGTTAGAAGATTAGGTAATACAGTTATATTCAAGTTGACTAATCAGAGCGGATGGTCGTCGTTGGCCCCCACCCGACACTATTTAGTTCCACAGTGTTTCATGCGGCCTAATGAAGCTAAGAAGGCAGCTGATGAAGCTAAGATGAGATTTGCACACATTGATGGTGACCACCTGACGTTACTGAATGTCTACCATGCCTTCAAACAGAGTGAGTATATGCATTGCTGGTTAGCTAATGCTTTCTCAAAAACAATCGCCACATTGGGTAAAAGTTGCATCTGGTATTTATTCAAATCAACTATTTTAGGACTCTGGGTTTTACTTGATTGAAAAGACAATGGGAAACAATAGATTAGTTGTTTAAACAACAATTATAGTTTCCCATGATTCCATGGTGCAATCCCAGGGATTGAGATACCCATGTTTAAGTGGCTGTCTAATACAAAATGCTTTTTCTTGAAGTTTTATTTGTGCTTCAAGGAATTTTCCTACATCTCGTAAAGTAACAAAATCTTACAGGTGATTTGATTGGTTCCTTCAGGCAGATTGATTGGTGCATTTGAAAGATGCTAAAAGGGGAAAAATATTTTATCATGGTTTTCTTGTAACTAGCGGTACCAGATTTTTGCAGCCAAGTTAATAAATTCTGATGAATTGGACAACATGTATGCATTTGACATGTGAACTGCAATATTACTGTAAAATGACTAATTTTCGCTGGGTTTAAATTTCGCTGATTTACCATTTCAGGAATATTCAGAGGGTTTTAAATTCACTGTTTTATCATTTCGATAATGTGTTCTATGCTAAATTTTACATATCCACTGGGTTTTAATTTAGCGCATTTTCCAGTCAGCGAAATAAGCAAAATTAAAACAGGGTGAATAATTAACCCCTTTACAGTATCTTTATATGTGGAGCATAAATGTAAGTTTTTGGTGGTGATTGAACATGTTTGATGTCTCTTGACAGACAATGAAGATGCCCAATGGTGCTATGACAACTTTGTGCAGTATCGATCTCTGAAGTCAGCCGACAATGTGAGGCAGCAATTAGCACGTATCATGGATAGATTCAATTTGAAGAGAACTAGTACAGAATTCACCAGTAAAGATTATTATTTGAACATAAGGAAAGCTTTGGTATCTGGATTCTTTATGCAGGTATATGGCACTATCAGTTTAATTCCTTTGGGTATCAATGACTGAACTTCTTGTGGCCCAAACAAGATTGGCCGGCCAGATTTGTATAATAATTTGTCCTCTGTACAGTGAAAAATGTTCAGATTGACAGTACACTATTTTCAAAAGGTGTTTTATCAGCAGATTTGTTAAGAAGACTTGAAACTTTGGTTGAAGCTGCATCCAGCTTTGGGTTGTCTTTTTCTGTGTTATGTTCAAATATGTGAAAAACTCCAAATAGAAATCAAAGCTGGGTTACTCTCGATTTTGTTAAGATACGCTGTATTGGAATAGACTGAATGCATGACAAACTCGCTTCCATGCCTCACTTATTCAGCCGATTTTCATCTTTCCTCAGGTTGCTCATCTAGAGCGCACAGGGCATTACTTAACAGTGAAAGATAACCAAATAGTACAACTTCATCCATCTACATGTCTAGATCATAAACCAGAATGGGTGCTTTACAACGAGTTTGTACTGACCACTAAGAATTATATCCGCACAGTAACTGATGTCAAGCCAGATTGGTAAGTATTGTTCTGTTTGTCAAGTAGTCCTATCATACAGAGCCTAACTGACGTTTAACTACTATAAAACATGTTGACGTACAATTTTAGCGAATTGTGGTAAAATGACGTAATAGCGAATCTCTTATTGTCATTGTTTATTTCCTGTTCTATACTTGTCTGTCACGTGCCAAAACAAAGAAAAACTGTCGAGTGTAATTACGAAGCGCCTCAGATTTTTATGTTCTGGATTACTGTATACAAATCCCCAAGCCTTGGCCATTTTGAATTTATAATAAGTCATTAGCGACATCTTGAATTAGCAAATCAGTTCCCTCACTAAATTCGCTAAAAAGACATGCTCGCGAAAAAGACACGTTTTACAGTATATTACACTGATGAGTTCAGTCATGTACCATGCAAATGTTTTGACGAGTTCAAGAAAATCATCATTACACGTGTAATGTAAACTGCTCTTTTTAGTGAAGTGCATTTCATGTGAATGAAATAGTGATTAGTACTTCACAGGTTTCTGGTACAAAATTTTATAAAATTTACCTTGAAAAATTTAGACTGCTCACAGTATCTTGTACACGTAGTTTCCTTGTGAAATTACCTAAACTAGTATTCCACTGTAAAGAGTGTCAATTCTTGGCACCCCCAAGTATTTGAACAACTTATTTAATGTAATTCAAAAATATTAACAGCATCCTCTGCAATGCAGCAGTTTTAATACAAATTCCCCAACAAACTTGTTATACATCACATTTTGTATGTATGAAATTTTAAAGGATTTCTGAAATTCACAACAATTGCTCTTGTTATCTGCCCTGCCTCATGTACATGATATACTAATGTCACTTTATCTTCCATTTCTCATAACAGGCTTTTGAAACTTGCAGCACAATATTATGAACTGACTAATTTCCCTGAATGTGAAGCTAAAAGAGTCCTTGGCAGAATAGTGGCTAAACTACAATCTAGGGAATATTCAAATTATTAATATCAACAATAGAAAGTCTGTTCAAGAAACTCAATTTCACTTGAATTGTTTTTAAATCCATACCAACTATATTCTGCTATCAGCAACTGTGTGAAATGGTTAAGGCTTCACTAAACTGGAACCACCATCAGTGTTGTATCGTTTCTTGTACAATACAAGTCGTCTCCCTCTCCTATACATAAAAAAAAGTAGACTAAACACACGTTTTCAAGCAATAGATATTACATATTAAGTAATTTTTTATGTTTATTATTTTACTGTCTTCAAAGAAGTCATCCTTGAATGTGAAATACTGCTGCAGCTTTAGCAGATCAAAAAATATCTTTTCTGTAATAGAATAAAATTTTGTTACTATGCTGAAAATTGTGCATTATATAAACACAAGTACACATTAAGTGCAAAGCAAATTTTCCTAAATATTTGTATCGCATGTTGACGGCCGTAGAAGCCTGTAAATGAGAACATATGAAGGTAGGTGTGCATGGATAGACAGCAATCTAATGGTAGTTGTTCTACTTTCACTGCTATAAGGGATTTCATTATCACAAGTTGTACATTATTGCCCAGATGAGAATGTATTATTTTCCAGTAAACTTGTTGATGGAAGATATTGTCTTAAATATCTATCGTTGAGACTGTTTATTAAAATATACCCTAAAACTGACCAGTTTTTGTTGTTCATATTAATACCACAACTTCTTGTATAGTGCACAGTACTGTAACCACTGAAGTGTCTCCAGAAGACATCCTTACCCACTGAGACACAATTTCATATAATAAAAGGTTTTGGTGAAAGAAAACTATAAATTCTAAATTTATATATGGACTTGTGCATTCTAGCGAGTACAGAAAAGGGCACATTGTCCAATGAAGTGGTGTTCAATTCGGACGCGGTACTTTCATTTTCCTGACAAATTTCAGCCACAGTATAATTTGAGTATTCACCAATTTGGGCACCTTCTGCTTTTAAGTAAATTCTCAACTCCAACTCCCTTTAACTGTGTTACAGAGGTCTTATGTAGTACATTAGGCTACAGACCGATGTTGGCATTATGGGGTAAGGGGTCACAAGGAGGTGGGCATTTGCATAGCCATAATTATTGTAACAAGACCATCTTGGTATTCTCCAGTACAATAATTCAAAATTTTAGTGCAGGTTGCACACTTTGATTGATTCGGTCCCACAATGCACTACAATTTGGAATTTCAAAATAAATTTTGGTACAAACACTGCAGGTGGAGGGTTCCATTTCACTAAATTATTTTCTCGTGGCATGTCACAATTTAAGTTCACTTGCAGTTTCTTACTGAAATCCTACAAAAAATAACATTGGCGAGGATTTGATATAAAATTGAGGGACAGGAACAGCACAGTGGACCAATCTTACTCCTACTATGGTAGATATCGCATTCCTGAACCTGGCAAGTGGACAGTAAGATGAATAGGGCATTTTCATTCAAACCTAGTATGAAAATCATGCATATCTTTTGAAATTCAAACAAAAATGGATGAATGGCACCCATTTTGTTTTTATTCACATCTATATTGATTCCTTACTAATATAAAATTTACACGCATGTATTGTAATACCGTAGGATGCATTATTTTGTGATTTGATCAAATGAGTGCCATTCCCTCTAAAATCATACAAAAGCAGTTTGAAAATATGTCCCAATGCAGTACGTTGCCAGATATGACTGATCACATTAGAAATGTATAGACAAAACACCCACACTCCTGGATCACTGCTTGCGATGGACTTTGGCATTTAAATAAAACTGGGGTCTCTGCATTGTCACAGCCGTTTTTTTCTTTCACTGCTGAGCGGACAGCTAACATGGGAAGACACATTAATTATTGAAGATTGTATGATTATAGGGAATTTGGCACATACATCATTTAAACTGAATTTTATTTTCTTCTTATCTTAGTGCGAATAATATTAGCATAATTAGAACAGTACAAAGGTGCCACAACACTACTGATTTGTCCAATACATCGCCTATTAAAACCTCACTTCAAGTCAAATAATGAAGTTTCAGGTCAACTTGTGCCAGAATTTGATAAAAATGCACCAAAAGATCACCTTGGACAATGTTTTGAAGCTAGCACTTGCCCAAAAATATGACCGTTCCTACAAAAGATTGCCCAGGATCGGACAACTACAGTAATATTGTATTCCATGTAAAATTAGACACTTTGAATTCAGGATAGTAACAGCTTTATATTGATAATTCTTCTTGCATCTTTGTTAGAATTGTTTGTATTTTACTTCTTTTGACAAATATTACAGTCCTATATGGTTTCATTGGTGCATCATCAAATGACCAGGATCCAGCTAACAATGAGTCACTGTCCCCTTGTGAGATTGGATAACTGAATGATAGCGCTGCTTCCTGTAACATAAATGAAATAAACAATTATGTAATATTGGCGAATACTCATAGTATGTTTAACTAAAATATCAACTTTTTATGACACCAATAGTGAATGCAACATAATTTGAAGTTTAAAAACAAAGTCAACAAAACCATGTATGTTATTTAAAGCGGGAGGGTCGTCACCTGCACGAGAATTGAATCCCAAGCGACCAAAACAATACATGCTAAGAACGCAACGGCTCATGGGTAGACGCTTGTTTGTAAACAATGACACGCTATGCTCATCTGACGCATGCGCAGAAGACGCTTCCCCTCCCTTTAGTATAAAGCTGTACCACCATTTTATGAACTGGTAACTATTTAAATTCAAATCAAAATGAGGATCTGTGATTGGCTGTGAGAATGTCCCATTTTATTTCACATATAGTTTGTGTACTCTCAATGCCAGCCAACAACACAGTTTAAAAAAAAAAAAAAAAATATTTATTGTGTCAAGGTGACATTTTCCGACACTGAAGTCTACTGATATTACCGGTATTTGTTTGTTTTTTTTGTGCTGCTTAAACCAGTTTCCCAAAGCTGATACCACATGTTTGAAAGGCACGGCAAGGCAGACCACACTACTGAGTAAACAGTCAGCTCTGCGATAGAAACCCATAACTTCAAAGATGGCGAGGTGAACTCAGAACAACATAGTTGCATGAATCACACAAATGTTCCGATTGGTCAAATTCTGATTTCAACAAATGTATGTTGATTATGAATGCTCCCTGAAAGAACAGAGATAGAACTCACTTTTAAAAAGAATTCATCTTCTGGATTTGAGAACTGCAATTCACCACTTTTATTCTGTTCTACTTTCTTATTCTTTTTCTTCTTTCCTTTCTTCTTGCCTTTTCTATCTCCTCCTTCACCTCCTCCTCGTTCATCAGGTGGTAATTCTTTATAACTTTTGCAGATCATAACAAAATACTCAAAGGAATACTTCATTCCTTTCCTGATGGCATCTTTTAAATCTTTTCTGTTGAAGAAAATATTCTGGTGGGCAAATGGCGACGACTTGCATTGCAAAATAAAAGCAAGTTTGACTAACAGTTGTGGATAGCGTATACAGTATTTGCTGTAATACATATAACACATAAACCCCATAAATGCATTTAATGTGAACTGGATCACTAAAATATGATTTCTTGGTATATTGACAATGACACCTTAGCCATTCAGTGGAGACAAGCACTACTATTAAGCAAAAAATAGTGTCACAAGAAGACAACAAGTGTCAAGCAACGTTTCATGATGACTATTCTGTGATTTGGTCAAACTGCAAAATTTTTCCCCATATGGATCTTTCCACCAATATTACGAAATAAAACAAAACCTTAAAAAATAACTTTATATGTTCCCAACATATTTGTGATTGGCTGTTATTGTAAAGCAATAATTGTCATCATAGTCCGCTGTGACGTTTTTGGGACTACTTTATTGCAGGTGTCAGAATACACACTTTTGTAATGGTGGTATATTTCACATGATCAACCAAGTGTATTGATATGTAAAAAGTAGTGCTGTTGGTGCAACTGAAAGTGGTAGAATAAACAATAAACGTGAAAGCTCTCTGGTTTCTTTGATGTTTCATGTGTTCCTGAGTCAACACATCACACCACACACTTACTGTAGACTTTGGTGTTGTGGTAGCGCTATCTGTGCGGGTACATTGATGAATCTTTCATTTAATAACAATCCAACTGGTCTTGTATCATCATTGAATATTTTTTGACATTCATCGATATCCGATTCACTACCACATTTGCTACATTGTTCCGTTATCAATGATATAATTTGCTTTATGCAATTAACATCCTAATTAACAGAAATAAAAACAAATAATTTTAGAGTCATACATTTGTACAGTAATATATTATGGTACTGACTATTACTTGAGTTAGACAATATTTATATAACTATGCCTTTGACATAAAATTTGAATGTGAAAAAATTCAAATAGGCACAGACAAGACAGACCATACAAAAATGAGCCTTCATACAAACATTTTGCATACATTAGTCGCCATTCTAAACCCAGGATTTTTACTTGTCGCGGCAGGTTTCAACCGAATACAACAACATTTATACATCAAAAGCCCAACCAGATGATTGTAATCGCTAGCGAATATATTCATGCCCCTGTAGAAATGTATTTGGAATCACAGCTTTATCTCTAAACATCATAAATGGCACATTTCCCAGAGCTTCCGCCACGATGTGAGCGGCTTGGTTCAGATAAGCATACTACCGGTAATTGCGGGGGCCATCTTGCCCCTATTTATAGTATCGGTTCCCCTTTAACAACATTCTATGGGATTAAGTTAGAAATAGAGCCAAAAATTTCATGGTGAATTTAAACAATTCAGTGATTGGGTGAATAACACCATGTGACTTAATGACTGTTTCAATATAGTGGTTCACTCCCTCTTTTTGGCATGAATGTTAGACTATGGCACTACGATGAGTAACAGCAAACACAGTCTACTTTACCTCCAATATTTCTACTTTTGCCAAGGAGAATTGTATAACCAGAAATGCTATAAAGGTAATGTTACAAGGCACATAGCTTGTGTAACATCCCATATTACAGGGGAGTGTGGAAAAAAACAGCTAACTTTGGCATTTCAGAATTTTGTTGTAAAAACACAATTATAGCTCAATCCTTTGCATATTTATATGTAATTGGGGATCTTCCAATGATTAGAGATTCAAAAAATTTGCATCATACCGAGAAATACAGAGCATTTCTCACTTCCAAGCAATTTGACTTGCTAGTATCCAATTAACTAATTGACTCAGAAGGTTATACTCTAAAGTAAAAATTTACTCTCTGCCAAGATAATGGTAGATAAGGACAAGTTTGATGCATAGACAGATCAAGAAGCAATCAATCTTAGTGTGTGTGTTGGAGGAGACTGTGTGTTGAAATGCACTATGAAGTTAGCTATTGAGTGTCAAGACCTAAATCAATAATCTACTACATTCAAGCAGGAAATAAAAGCCCTAATGCAGAGAAAGTTAAATACAGAAGCCATTTTTTTTACAGATTTATATTATTTCTCACCTTTTTATCTGTGATGTTAATTACAGACATAAATCCAAATATGTCGTCGTCATCGTCATCATTATCGTCCGCTTCATCTACCAAATCATTGGTACTTTGCTACAATTGACAGATAACATCATCAATCATACAGATCAATATTAAAGGTTATATTCCAATGTAATTACAGACTACACCAATACTGATTGGCTATTTGGATGGTTACCATAGTAACAAAAATTTAAAAAGACAAGTAGTTCTTTCTGGTGTTATGAACCCAATATTAAATTATTTTAAAAATGCAAATAGAAATTCATCATTGGAGACAGTTGGCACCTCAGGTCATTACACAAGCAATCAATATGTCGATAAAAAGTTCAATTACTCATGTGATAATAAAATAAACACCTATCTTACCTTAATGATACTTCCAATATAGTTCTGAGATATAACAAGATTAATTAATTCAGACATGTTGATTTGGGCTTTAAGAAATAACTGTGAAGAAATACAACAAGTATAATGATATGTACCATAACAAAAATTTTATAGACCATTGTCCACTCACGATCACATTTAAGTTTGCCTCTGGTCCAGTAATCACAACAGCCTATCACATATTTCACTACATATTCAATCATTTGTTGTCTAGATAAGATTTAGTTTCCCTAACACTTATTTTACTGCACTATCATATGTACACATTTACACTGAATTTGAATACATTTACGATTGCTCTGAGAATCAGTCAATTTATCAAGCATAATGAGATCATTTCCCACCTGTTGTAATAACCTTTTGATACCATTAAAATCACTATCAATTGGTGGAAGTGCTTCAAATTCTACTTGTATCTCCTGAAATAAAAATAAGTTTATTAAACACAACAAATTGTGTCAACAGTAATATTTGAATTTGAAATAAAACTATGATCCGGTATTTAAAAATATATATAAATGCGCATCATAAACCACTAAAGAGCGGTTGTCGTTGCACCACGCAAAGATGGCGACTGATGTGCAACAAATACAAATTGAGACATTACCAAGCTTTTTAACCAGTGATTGTTTTTGTTGATTGGAAGCTATTGAAGAGTCAGCGACGGTCATTAGTGAACGTTGTGCCCAGGTCAAAATTTGTGCACATTGGATTGTGGGAAAATCAATGTTTGTCAACACAAATGTCGCACATGCGCGACTCGACGACTACCGCCCTTTAAATGTACATGTTTCTGCAATGCACTGTGCTAAAATGAGATGCATATTTTTCAAGTTAGTTATCAGACTTTTTTATTTGATTAACGTATAAACGTAAGTCAAGTGTTGGCAATTAATCCAGCGAAACAAGTGACATTGGTGAATGGTAACATTAACTTAAAGTTGTCGGAATTCATCTTGAGGGCGCACTTTAAAAAAAATTGGTAAAAATTTATCGCATACCTCGTTTATTTCTTCATCCGAGCTATATTCTTCTGATTCCATATCATCATCCGATACATCATCTTTGTTTCGAACATCACAGATGTCTTCGTCTTTTTTTTTATAGTCAGCTGCACTGTGTTTTACTGGCGCGCTTCTGCGTTTCTTTCCAACCGAAGCCATGCTTTAACCTTTGACATGTAATAGTGGTTTGTAGTTTCTTTACTCGTACTTCCGGGTTCTAAAAAACAATTCACATTGCACGGATCTGGACTTAACAGGTATATCTCATTTCGTGGATAATAACATATAAGTTTGTTTGTCGGAACGCCATTTCGAAGTTGATATGTGAGTGAATATTTAGAATGCCAATGTCAAATTAAACCTGCTGTGCTAATGTTACATTTTGTTATTAAATGTGTAAAGAGGGTACGAAAATTTGATTAATTTTTTATCGTCTGCTTCGATTATTTATTGTCGTCTGTTAGTGAATAAGTGGTGCCATTTTCACTACAAATTCAGAACAGAGTTCTGGTCAAATCAATTTCAAATTTTCTCTTCCAGTTTTAGGTTGGTAACACTGAAAACTTTAAACATTAGGGTGTTATTGTTAAGAGCCCCCCGAGTGGGGCCAGAGTCAGACCCATACCATCAGGTAAGTATGCTACACGAAGACAGTGAGGAATGCTTGAATTTTCACTTTTTAATGTTATTTGATATTATATATACTAAAATTTTAACAGTTTGCCTATATTTGACATTTCACGCCTGGTCTCTTTTCAGTCGAGGAACTAAATTATTCTCCAATATTATCAATATTTTCGTTTTTTCTCATATCACATTATCAGAATTATCACCAAACACTCCCCAAAAAACGATTGTTTACTGTTCCAAGTCCCACTACAGTGACGTCATTTGGTCATGCAATATTAATCCTTGCTTGACTAGAAAACAAATTGGCTGCTATCAGAGTCGCACACGATCTAGCAGCCTAAAACCCATAAAAACAACATCAAACCAATTTGTTGTCTCGTTTTTTCTTCTGGTGAGTGAAACATATTATGGAAATGTGATGACATGATATGAAAAAAAATTTACTTTTAGTTGAAAGTCTTTGTGCAGTAAAATCCTTGTCAATATAAATAACTACTTGAAAGATTCCAAATGTACCAAAAATGATTCCATCACAAAAACTAAATACCATGACAACAAGAGTCCCACAGCTCTTCTCTGGTATGCCTTGACTGAATTTGTTTGAAGTTGATACAAACACAAGACATGCTGTAAACCACTTTAAAGGGCGACAGTCATCGCGACGCGCCCTGTTTGATATGAGACTCATAGTGACGTATACAACGCGTGTAAAATACATTGTTTATTTACATGATATTCGAACACGCACCGCGCGACGACCACCACGCTTTAATATTGAAAATTTATTTTAAAAAATAGTACCGTAGTGAAAATTTCTCTGGGAGGCATACAACAAATGACTTTTGCGAAATTTTGTCTTCATAAATCCAGTACAATCCTGAAATTTAACATTTAATTTAACAAGCTATGGGCCTTGTATGCAATATGCACATAAATTTGTTTTTGAGATTGGACAGACTGACTGTAATAGATTGTTGCTAATATTGTTTGCTGATGTACTAGTGGTACATAATTGCATACTGTCTTCTATAGGAAAGATTTTTAGACAGATGAAATAGTACATCCGCAATATTTAATGTTTCAAATGAAAAAAAATTGAGATCAAGCTTTCACATTTTAGTGAAATAAAGTGTGTATCAAGCTAGGGGTGGTTCATTTCAATTTGGGAGGATTGGGTGAAGGAGTAATTTCTTTTCACTATATGTGATATTTTTTGCTAGATAATTTTTAACAACAAATTTTAAATTACTCAAATCTCGCAAGTAATCTGTCTCTGTTCACATAGTTGTATCAAACTCAAATTCATTGACGGAAAATACATGCTTAGGATGATCTGGAGAAAAGTACTCCCTCTAGTGGTAGAATGTGAAATATTCCACATCATGGCCAGAGTTCAGTAAACAACAAATTACATCTAGATATGGAATGCAATGTGATCACAGTTAAATTATATTGATGTGGAATCTATGACATGAAAATATCCCCCCTTGTAGGAATTTTTGGAATTGCATTTGTATGCGCCATAATAACAAAATATCAATAATTTTCCCATAACTTGTATACTATTTATTTATACCACATTAAATACTTTGTGTAATATTATCATTATCATCAATTTTGTGTTTATTTTTCTCCTAAAATGTAATTATAACTTATTCCCGAATTCTGGATTCATAAATGCTTTTTTATATTAATGTGGAATGCAGCAAATATGAAAAGCATGTGTTCTATTTTGTTGACCGCAAAAAAGAAAATGCCATGGCTATCTACAACGCCACTGCAGAAATTTTTTGGAAAAGAAATTTTCATTGAAATTGACGTGCTAACATTTATATTTGCAGCATTTGTTATTTAATTTGGACTATAAATGTGCCTTCTAGACCCTGCATATACCTGTTGTTGCTGGTACTTTAGTCAAACTTTAAATTTATTAATATTTTAGAGGAAAGTTTCAGGAAATTTACTATCCTTATTGTAATACATTGTAGAAACTACCTTATAAAACAATAATATTAACTATATATGCATGTATAACAAAGCTTGAACTTCACAGAGGCATCAAAAACAATTCAATGCCCAAAAGTACAGATTTTCTCATTACTATTCCTGTACACAAATGCATTTTATAAATTATAATTTGAAAATGTGTGTCCCTCAACTATCAAATTCAAACACTAACATAACCTAAACTTTTGGTATTTTAAAATCCAGTTGTTGATGTTTCAATATGAAAAGATACACAACCATTGGTCTGTTAATCCTGCGGTGCTAATGGAATTTCAATATTACAACGCCACAGTCAGCATGAGGTGTCATGTTCGATACACGTCCCATTGGATGTCAATTGTGCAATAACAGTTACTATTTCTGTGCCATGTAAAATGGCACAATAATTGCCCTATGTTGGAACCAATCAGCATACTTTAATTTTAACATCATATAAAGGTCAATAACATCTTAAACTGCCTTAAAATTGTACACACATTGCAAGCCTGCCAACTTTGAAATGAGATGCAGGAAAAATACAGTTGACTGCATGTGATGCTCAAATTCAGTTCAGGGTGCATATGCACTTACAACACCCATTGCGAATAGTTGTCAGTGTTGCTGTTGTCAATTTTAAAATCCTTTAAATTGGCATAACATGTTCACATCTGTTTTTCTTTTACTCCAAGCTAAAAAATAATGTAAACATGGTAATAACCGCGGTTTTTACCTACCAGTACCATTAAATCTCTATTAGAAGCCGCATCCCTAATAGAAGTCGTGCCTATTCTTTTTGAACAATTTAGACCTAAAAATTCATAATTTTTCATATGTGCAGATGCTTAATAGAAACCACATCCCCTTTGTTGTATTGTATGATTTTAATAGAAACTGCGGCTTCTAATACAGATTTGACAGTACATGTACTTGCAAAATTCCAGATAAAAGATACAAAGGTTTGCAGTATTTCTCATAAACAATTCTTGTAAATATGCTAGAATAAATTTTCTCATGAAAAAAAAAAATAGTAGATAGGTACCTCTTCTAGATTGATGTGCAACTGTGGGTCAGCTTGACCTGAATATTGTTTGAAATTTATAAAAAAAAAAACGTTGATATGTACATTGTAAATATTTGCAACAGTAACAAATTATATTGCCAGCTGGAAGTACATTGCAATTATATCAGTGTCAGAGGAAGAGCCTTTCATTCAATTAAAGAATCTAGACAACCATACATAGAGATTATCTGGCAACTACCGGTACATTCCTGTTATTAGTATTAACTAAATGGACGCAACCCAAGTCTACATGAATCCGGAATTTCATGTATGTTTTCTCTGTCAACAAATTTTTGGCCCTCTATGGAGTTAACACGAACACTCGGATCCTTTTCCCTGAATCTAAAAATTTGTAAATATATAACCAGTGTTCTACTATGGAAAGATAACTCTTACCAATTCAAATTAGTAATGTAACATTAAGGATCAAGGGGTGGAAATGCTGGAAGTTTTGACGGAGAACCAATACTTAAAATATTTTTTCAGATGAAACCTGCGAACAAAATATATTGCATCATAGTATACGGTACATATATTGAGAGGATATTTACCCCCACATGCGATATCTAAGACAACTCTCACCAATGGGAATTCAATTGGCCTATACCAATTCATTTACAACAGAAAAATACACAAAAGATGTATTTTCTTTGTAAAAACCATAAACTGTAATTTTCAGCCAACCTGCACATGATGCACCTCAAAAAACTATTTTCAGTTATATAGTGATCATTAACTACTAGTATTTCTGATTGGTTGGCTTGCAATTACAATTGATAATATTAATCAAACTTACAAAATGTGTTGGCATTCATTTAATTCATCCCTGAATAATCTGGATTCACCTACATGGACAGTGTCTTGTCATAAGATGATAGACAAATACACTGCTATATAATAACCTGTGTTGGAGGCAATACCTAGCAAATTCTAAATTGTTGTGATAGTTGTAATAATAATCATCACCACTCCCATTGAGTTTGCTATGTAATCTATGCAGATCATAAAAGGTATCATTGTTTATGAAAAAGTTTCTTCAAAGTTCAATACTATACAGTAATTCATCTACGACTTGTAATAATTCCATTATGGCATCTCAAATATTCACATCATAAAAGTAGGTATGATCAATTCTATAAATATTAACCTTTTAAATAATGTTTGCTGCTTTAACTTTGGTTCTCCTAGTAGAGTGACTGTGGACTGAATAAGATACTTTCCTATTTTGATTAATTTTTTTGGTAACTATTACTTAGGTTTATATCATGGGATTTGAAATTTTGGAAATTTTGGTGTTCAAAAAGATGTTGTTCAGGCAAAATTCCTCCATACTTTCTGTAATACTCTGTAAACCCACTCAT